GAAAAATCATTGAAGTTAGGGTTATAGAGTGACTCAAAGGTACCCTCTTTCAGTGTAATCAAATATGAGATGCAGGAGATTGAAATTCTAAATGAAATTAATATTTAAATATAAAGTGATTTTGATTAAGAACCTTGCAAGAGTATCTTGAGGAACAGTGGTAACCACCAGAAGAAAATAAAGTCTTATCATGGGATAAAACTGGTTGTGTCAAGAAGCTAAAAGTCATAAACCGGTCAGTTTAACGTCTGTCCCAGGGAAGATAATGGAGCAGGTAATTAAGGAAATCCTATGCAAACACTTGGAAGGTAATAAAGTGATAGGGAATAGCCAGCATGGGTTTGTGAAGAACAAGTCATGCCAAACTAATCTGATAGCTTTCTTTGATAAGATAACGAGCCTTGTGGATAAGGGAGAAGCGGTGGATGTCATATACCTAGACTTTAGTAAGGCATTTGATACGGTCTCGCATGATATTCTTATTGATAAACTAGGCAAATATAACTTAGATAGGGCCACAATAAGATGGGTGCATAATTGGCTGGATAACCATAGTCAGAGAGTTGTTGTTAACCTCTAAAAATTTGAAATGTAGGTCAGACCCCTTTGGAAATCTTAGATGTACTCTGTGGACCCCCATGTTGTCCACAGATCACAGTTGAAAAATCACTGTTCTATGGCAACAATGACCTTTTACAGACCCTCATGGACATAGTCTGTGGACGACATGGGTCCACAGGCCTGAAATTGAAAAACACTGGCCTGCACCATTAATGACCCAAGGGAGCCTTATTCTTGAACCTCATTGAAATTTCTTTACATAGTTAAAGAATCTATACTATAAATATTACTGCATCAGAAATAATTTCTGGTAAGTCTTTAAAGTCATTGAGCCAAATTGACTTTAGATACTTGCACACAGCACACTGAATTCAGTGAGAGTTGTACTTGTTAATGTGAAAGCAGGATTTGGACTTTCCTCTTGCGGTATCTATGAGACAATGTATGTGTGCCTGTATCTATAGTGTAGACGCTAAATTCCTTGTATCTTTGTAAAGTAGCCACACTATAAAGCCCTGTATAGACAAAGTGAAAACTGTAGTAGGATACTATGAAGCAACTCCATGGAATATTTGCAATTTCGTAAAAGAAAGGATTTAATGTTCTCCCTTCATTGCTGTACTTTGTAAATTAAATAATCTGGTAATATAAAAATGTATATAGGTACTAGTTCTAGTTATATCTGAGACTAAAAAGCCATTGAAAGTTGTGTTGTGAATGTAATACTATAACCATTTTGAAAGTCTCAGAGAGGTAGCCATGTTAATCTGTAACTAACAAAATTTTAAAAACAACAATGGTCCTGTAGCACCTTAGAGATCCACATGGGTGGATCCTTACAGCTGCTCACAACCCAGCTAAAGTGAAATGTGGGTTCTTCTGCCCACAGATAATATGGCAGGGCTAAGCTGTTAGTGGACTGAGGGCAGATCTACACTGAACCTGGAAGGAAGGCTTAAGGTACACAACTGCAGCTACGCAAAATGCATACTTGGAGTAATCTTACCTTAAGATGAGCCGTGGTGGCGTCCACACTGCTGAGCAATTTCAAAAGGACCTAGTCAAAATTAAATTATATTTGTGCAACACAGTAGCAAATTAAATTCAAAGTGGACAAATATAAAGCAATGAAGTATACCCTGTCTGAGGAGCCTCTGAATCAGTGGAGGGCATCCTGCAGCCCATCAGAATTTTATATGTGGCCCATGAGATGTTTTGTTTACTGTTGCTCACATGCAGAGTTGCCAGATTCCACTGGTTTCCATCCGCATAGTTTATTTTCTTACCAGTGTTGCTAAAGTGATGTGTGTAACGCAAGAGAACGTGATTACACACAACATTGACCATAAGAGCCATGTACCCCCTTTGCATCTGATCAAAGTGCTGATGCTGTTCAATTGGCAAATTTGAAGTGCACAAATGCAGTTAGCAAAACGACCCTATCCCAGGAGAACATCTTGTATATGGTAATCTTGTGGTGCACTGAGATAAAGGAGGGTCCATATGTGTCTCGTTCATTAGCTTAAGTTGCCCATCACTACTCTGAATATTTTTACAGGTATGCGGATTAGACAGACCTCTAGGTACTGTATGCTGACATTGCAGGATTGCAAATCCCATAATGCACTCTCTGGATGCTCTCTGGGACTGGACAAAGCTTCTGGGGTCAGAACAGCCTCCTTTTTGTGAACAGGGAACTGGAACAGAGAGCTGCTTCTCCCCTTTGTATCTGGGCCCAGGAGAAACAGAGACGGAGTCCTGTGATTGAGTTGCTAGGCTAAAGACACATGACCAGGGTTAAGACCACACGATAGCCAAAAACTTGTGTCTCCACAGTGAAGCATTGAGAGCAGAAGCTGAAGACTGCTGGTTGAGCAGAAGATCTGGATTTGGCTTACAGACCATTGAGTAAAGAACAAGTTACCTCTGGGTTAGTGCTCTCTAAGGCTATCTCTAGACTACAAGGTTTTATCAGAAAAATGTACGCAAATTGCGCTTTGCAATTTGCGTACCTTTTTCCATTTTTTTTTTTTGGAAGAGGCTTTTCTGAAATTTGGCCCATCTATGTTGAGCAAAACTTCAGAAAAAGCCTCCTCTTTCAGAAGAGCCCTTCTTCCTCGTGGAATGAGGAAGACAGGTTTCTGAAAGAGCATGTCTCCTCTTCCTCCAAAAAAGTGGAAGAGTAGATGCGTTCCCTCATGCGGTGGAGTTTTTCCGCGATACCCGGTATCCTGAATAAACCCCATAATGTAGACATAGCCTAATATAAGAACTCAGGGGGGTAGCTGTATTAGTCTGTAAGGGTATGTCTAGACTATATGGTTCCGTCGACAAAGCCATGTAAACTAGTTTACCTGGTATAGGCAAAGAAGCGGGGATTTAAATAATCCCCGATTAATTAAAATAGACATGGCCGCCGTGCTGTGCCAATGATCAGCTGATCCAGCACAGTGAGGCAGTCTAGATGTGGATCTGTCAGCTGGTGAAGCCTTTGCTGACCGATCGCTTATGCCTCGTGAAACGAGGTTTACAGGATCAGTCGGCAAAGGCTTCCCCAGCCGACAGATCCGCGTCTAGACTGCCACACTGTGCCGGATCAGCTGATCGTCAGCACAACGTGGCGGCCACGTTTATTTTAATGAAGCGGGGATTATTTAAATCCCTGCTTCTTTGCCTATGCTGGGTAAACTAGTTTACATGGCTCCGTCAACGGAGCCGTGTAGTCTAGAAATACCCTAACTGAAAAGACCTAAAAAACAACAAATGGTCCTGCAGCACATCAGAGACTAACAAAAATGTAGATAGTATCATGAGCTTTCATGGACACAACCCACTTCTTCAGATGAATGGAGCAAGGGGTCCAGAGGTACAGTATTAGGATTTGTGCATATTTTATTGTTTAAATATATTAGTATTTGTGCATATTTCATAACATTAATATTAGATGCATCACCTGAATATGTGTTCTTTTCTATAAGGGTAAGTTTGCACTGCATGCTTATTTCGGAATAAGCTATTTTAGAAGATATGTTCCAAAATAGCATATTTCGAAATAGAGCGTCTACACTACAGGGAAGCCTCAAAATTAGACCGAGGCAGGTTCCCCTAATGTGGGCATGCTACCTTGATTTAGAGCCCCAGAGAGCACTGGGGAAAAATTACTTAGAATGGCCCTGGTGAGGAACTATTTAGAAGTGGCAGCAGTGGAGCATCCACACACGCCCTATTTCAAAATAGTTATTTCGGAAGAGGAGTTATTCCTTGTGGAATGAGGGTTACAGAAGTCGGAATAAGCTGTCCATTATTTCGATGTTATTTCAAAATAACGGAATTGCTGTGTAGATGCTCACATTATTTCAGAATAATTGCCGTTATTCCAAAATAACAGTGCAGTGTAGATGCACCCTAAAAGACTATTAATTACTACTATTTATATTACTTGACTGATACATTCCTTTGTTTATGACTTCATAACTGTTTGCAGTGCAAATATTGATGCCACAGTTCAATGCTTTATGTGAACAAATGTGATACAAGCAGGAGACACTGTTTAACCCCACGGGGAAAAAAATCTCCCTTTAATGCAAATATCCCAATAAAGAATTGTAATAAAGAATAGTATGCCAGATCATTTGTTCTCACACTAAAAACTTATGGAAGGAAACTTAAGGGGAGGAAATCACCCAAAGATTTTCTCACAAAATTGTTTGCTGATTATTCCACAGAGAACAGCATTTGATACCCTGTGAAATGCCGAGACTCTCTGATCCTTCCCCCATGCCCCTTTCCCAATCATGTGGTTTCAGAGAAACCAGTTGGTTATCAGGCACTTTCCTTGGTTACAGATGGACTAATGTCCAATGATTCCACTTACCATGTGTAGTGAGTTTCATGGATTAAATGATACTACCTGAGGTTGCATTATCCTTTCTAATATGTTCCACCGAACAATGTATTTCACCTTAGCTCTGCTCCCCAACAATGCACAGGATCCCCATTGCGACTCCAAACTCTATCCAATCTTTTTTTCCTCTCCATTCATGGATCCCAACTCAACAGAGAGCCACAAGGACTCCTGAATAAGTGGATGGAGAGACTAGTGCCATGAGGAGGACCCTTCCATTCAAAATGGGCAGAGTTGCATATTTAGGGTGCCAAACCTTGGTGGTGTGGTCTGGCTCTGTGATAAATCTGACAAGTCCCTTTGTTTTCTGTAGCCATGTTCTTCTGTATGCTAGAGATCTGTGACTGTATTTCATTTTTTATAAGAACACGAAATGTGGTATCACAAATTTAACATAATTAATTATAAAAATCTTCTTTGGGTGTTGAGCTATTAATCTTACATGTTATATTAACATGATCATATCATATAACACCTGCCTCTTGCACTTGTCCACATTTTTAGTACCATTGCTAAGGACTTTTCACTTTATCAGGTTTGGGATGAAACTCTTGCGAAGTCTGCAGAGGCTTGGGCTGCAACATGCATTTGGGACCATGGACCTTCCTACTTACTAAGATTCTTGGGCCAAAACCTCTCTGTAAGAACTGGAAGGTAGGTAACTGTTGTTTTGCAAAACCTTTATTTAAAAAAAAAAGAAAAAAAAGAAATTGAGTGTCCCTTAGCTGATGTCAACTGCAATGAAGGTAGGCCAATCTGAACCTTTTAGCTAGTGTGGTGGAAAAAGAACTAAATTTGTCTACAGCTTATAAAGATTTTCATTCCAGTCAGGAATCTGAGAAATAATTATTAGAAAATCTGACTGTAACCACGGATTTCAGATCTCCACAAAATAACAGTTTGCAAATAGACGTACTCTATCCTAGGGATGCCAGGCCAAATGTTCTAACATAGCAAATTTTGAAAATGAACTTTTCCCTCCAACTTCTCTCTTTAAATTCACCTAGGTATCGATCCATTCTTCAGCTGGTAAAGCCATGGTATGATGAAGTGAAAGACTATGCATTTCCATATCCTCAGGACTGCAACCCTAGATGCCCACTCAGATGCTATGGACCCATGTGCACACATTATACACAGGTTATATGAGATTCAATCTTCCTTCACCAATCTATAGTTCAAAATTGGACTTTTCTGTGATGTGTGTGTATGTATAAATAAATAATATTTCTTTTAAATGTCAACTTCACCAAAAGAATAATGATTATTTATTCAGATGGTCTGGGCCACTTCCAATCGGATAGGCTGTGCAGTCCACACATGCCACAATATGAATGTCTGGGGATCTGTTTGGCGGCGAGCTGTTTATTTGGTATGCAACTATGCCCCAAAGTAAGTCGCTTTCTTTTCATTCTGTTTACTTTTCTACTTCATGCCTGTATGGGTTATTTGATAGGACTGTTTGCTCCCTTTTTTTCCAGCTAGCATTCCAGTCATGCTTTAGTGCTGGGCCTGCTTCCTCAAACAAATATAATAACTGGAATTATAAAAATGTACTAGTTTTGTATATAAAACAAACCAAAGAGGAATAACAAGATGTGTATTTAACAAAAGCACATCTCATTATCTTTTGTAGCTTTCCTTGATAGGATAACAAGTCTTGTGGATAAGGGAGAAGTGGTGGACATGGTATACCTAGACTTTTGATATGGTCTCGCATGACCTTCTTATTACTAGGGAAATACAATCTAGATGGGCTACTATAAGGTGGGTGCATAATTGGCTCGATAGCCATTCTCAGAAAGTAGTTATTAATGGTTCACAGTCATGCTGGAAGGGCATAACAAGTAGGGTTCTACAGGAGTCTGTTTTGGAATTGGTTCTGTTCAATATCTTCATCAATGATTTAGATGATGGCATAGAGAATATGCTTATTAAGTTTGCAGATGATAACAAGCTGGGAGGGGTTGCAACTGCTTTGGAAGACAAGGTCACAATTCAAAATGATCTGGAAAAAACTAGAGAAATGGTCTGAGGTAAATAGGATGAAGTTTAATAAGGTTAAATGTAAAGTACTCCACCTAGGAAGGAACAATCAGTTTCACACATAGGCTGTGTCTACATTGGTACCCTTTTCCGGAAAAGGGATGCTAATGAGACAAGTCAGAATTACAAATGCTATGGGGGATTTAAATATCCCCCGCAGCATTTGCATGAACATTGCTGCCGCTTTTTTCCGGCTCGGGGCTTTGCCGGAGAAAAGCACCAGTCTAGACGGGATCTTTTAGAAAATAAAGCCTTTTCTGGAAGATCCCTTATTCCTCTTAAAATCAGGAATAAGGGATCTTCTGGAAAAGGCTTTATTTTCTGAAAGATCCCATTTAGACCGGCGCTTTTCTCCGGCAAAGCCCCGAGCCAGAAAAAAGCGGCAGCTATGTTCATGCAAATGCCATGGGGGATATCTAAATCCCCCGTGGCATTTGCAATTCTGACTTATCTCATTAGCATCCCTTTTCCAGAAAAGGGCGCCAATGTAGACACAGCCATACAGAATGGAAAGTGATGGTCTAGGAAGGAGTACTACAGAAAGGGATCCAGTGGTCATAGTGGACCACAAGCTAAATATGAGTCAGCAGTGTGAAACTGTTGCAAAAAAAGCAAACATGATTCTGGGATGCATTAACAGGTGTGTTGTGAGCAAGACACGAGAAGTCATTCTTCTGCTCTACTCCGCACTGATTAGGCCTCAGTTGGAGTATTGTGTCCAGTTCTGGGCATCACATTTTGAGAAAGATGTGAAGAAACTGGAGAAGGTGCAGAGAAGAGAAACAAGAATGATGAAAGGTCTAGAGAACATGACCTATGAGGGAAGACTGAAAGACTTGGGCTTGTTTAGTTTAGAAAGGAGAAGACTGAGAGAGGACACCAAAAGGGTGTTACAAGGAGGAGGGAGAAAAATTATTCTCCTTGGTAGATAGGACAGGACAAGAATCTGGCTTAAGTTGCAGCAAGGGAGATTTAGATTGGACAATAGGAAAAACTTTCCAAATGTCAGAGTGGGTAAGTACTGGAATAATTGCCTAGGGGGGTTCTGGAATCTCCATCACTGGAGATATTTATGAGCAGGTTGGATAGACATATATCAGGGATGATGTAAATGGTGCTTGGTCCTGCCATGGGGGCCGGGGGCTGGACTTGATGATCTCTCGAGATCTCTTGATGATCTCTCCAGTTTTAGTATTCTATGATTAGCGTAATGCTCATCCTTTGTATTACTCTATTTCTCACACCTTTTTCTCCTCGTTCCCTGGTTCTGTTACATATAATTTAGGACCCAGTTCTGCAGTCCATACTTATGCTGATTTTCACTTACTTGCATTAATTGGCCAACTGCAGCCTGGGGGCTTAAACTGTAAGTACCTCTGTTAACCCAAAACAGTTAGATCTCTGATTTTACTGATCAGATGATGGGCTGTCTGCAGTATCTTACCCCCTTCGCATCTATCATCAGTGCTTTGTGTGGTTGAGACACAGGCAGGTTAGATAAAACAACAAGCTCTATAATAGATATCAGAAATAAACAAACTAGGACTCCCTGCAACGTAACAATAAAGGCTCGGATGTTAGTACAGATGTTGCCATAGCACAGATCTCATAGCACAATAGGGAAGGACTATACCGTGCCCTGTAGACACTGGGATGACACAGGGGACACAAGAATGCCAGGAACTGGATTCCAGGAACCTCTGGAACAGGTAAGTGGACTTCCCTTGATCTTCTGTCTTCTTCCGCTCTTGATACACCATCCTGTGTGTGGTATGCAGACACTCCCTATCTGGCTTTGCACGTAGGTGTAAGGTAAAGGGTCCCTTCTAGATGTTATCTTTTCTGGCTTTAGCTCTCAGCAAGGCTGGCTCACTGTGGGAGATCTCTGTGCTCTACTGGGATGATGTGCTTGCACAGCATCCAGAGACACAGAGCGCTGTCAGAGTGACAGACACTCCTCTATATGCTTTCCCGTTGCTGGGCAGATTTACTGTCACATGGCACTCCGTGTTCCTACCTTTTCCTCTGTTTTGGCACCAAACTGGAAAAAGGGCGCCAAAAGCCTGGAGAAGAAGGGGCACCAAAATGGAGAACTGGTTGTCCTTTTGACAATTCAAGGTGGAGATTCAACCAAAATGGCAATCGTATACATCAAACATGTGTTTAACCCCTTTCTTTCCAACACCTCAGGCCTTTTTTTTTCAGTAAGGGGCTTTGCATGCCCATGCTGGTGTATAAAAATACAAATAATAATGAATTGTACAAATCTGAAAAACTTTAAATGGCACGGATCCACATCTAGCAAAGAATATGGCACTGAATGAGTTTGAATAGTTTCATTGTCCCTGCTGCCATATGCACAAGAAGAAAATGTTTAACAGTTTCTTTAAAGATTTGCAATCTCCAAACATGTAGGTTTTGGTGGTGAAAGCTCCATAGAAGAAACCCATTCTATTTTGGGAGTTAAGAAGGCAGGTCCTTTATATTAACAATTTAAGTTAATGAAGAAAGCAGTAGCAAAGGAACTAAAGGGGGATCAGTAAAACCAGATCTGACTGCTACCTCCATACTTCAGGGATATTTGTAGTGGAATCCCATCATCTTCCAAATATCACAACTTGAGCCTGTCTTGTATAGCATCCCATGCATTATAACATATGCATGTATGCAAAAATTACAAAACAAAGTAATTATGAAAGCATGAGAGTGCATCTTTCAATTCAGTCAGTTTTCGCAAATGAAAGATGTCACAGAAGAGGAACTGTTGTGAACTGTTAATTAATTTGATTCATTATTTGATGCAGTATTATCACCGTAATAATGATATGTGACATTTAGTTTCTTCTGTTCTGAAAATCATGACTTACTTTGCAATCTGTAGATGGAATCCTAAAATGCCAATGCAATTTTCACTAGACCCTTATTCTAACAAGAGTATTAGCTCATTGCCACTAAATATGGATGTTAAAACTTAGAAGGATTCATAAAAATGGTCAGACATTTGCATGGATAATGAGAATATCCGAGACTGAGATCATCAATGGTTACACTAAATGAGATATGAGCTAGCATTCTTTAGAGCATAAGTCAGACACTCAGGGTACGTCTAAACTACATGGCTCCATCGACGGAGCCATGTAGATTTGTTTGTTTGGCAAAGGGAAATGAAGCCGCTATTTAAATATTCGCGGCTTCATTTAAATTTACATGGCTGCCGCGCTGAGCCGACAAACAGCTGATCAGCTGTTTCTCAGCTCAGCGTGCTAGTCTGGATGCTCCCCTGTCAACATGAAAGCCTTTTTTCGACATCCCCGGTAAACCTCATCCTACAGGGATAACGGGGATGTCGATAAAAGGCTTTCAGGTCGGCGCGGAGTGAACCGACAAACAGCTGATCAGCTGTTTGTCAGCTCAGCGCGGCAGCCATGTAAATTTAAATGAAGCTGTGATTATTTAAATCGCGGCTTCATTTCCCTTTGCCAATCTGTCTACTCTACATGGCTCCATCGATGAAGCCATGTAGTCTAGACACACCCTCACTGACTAGAACTAGGAAGAAACTTCCCCTATGGGCAGGTTATCCCATAACTTAAAGGATTTTTTGTATCTTCCTCTGACATATTTTGGGTGAACATCTAGCTCCAGTGAAGTCAGTGGAGCCAATATTTTCATCCCTAATATTTGGCCCTGCCAGATAAAAGATTCAGTATTACAGAGACTGCAGTTCTGGTTTGGCATGACAATTCATATGACCCTGTTTAGATGTCAGTGACGATTTGCCTAGAAAAAATTAATGAAAATTAGTAAGGACTTCAAGGTTCAGTACCTGTATATCCACATACAGGTGTCACTTCATTAATCACTTAAGACTTTCACCCCTCTCGCACAACATACCACAACACTACTCAACAGTTGAGGGCAGGAAGTACAAAAACATTGTAACCATTTTAAACCAGAGGGGTTTCAGAGGTGCCAGATAACATTATCTAAATAATAATTTACCCAGGACATCAGTGCCCTACCTCCTGTTAGCTGATATATACCCCATTTTAAACAGATTGAAAAAATATTCCAGGAAGCCCACATCATCTATTTAAGATTCTGATTTCAGAAACAGTGTAACAAGTTTTGTTTAAAATGTATGTATGATTTAGACTCAATTAACAGACACTTAATTTACAGCTCTATTACTCATTCTTGGTACAGAGAATGAAGCCAACATTCAACTTGTGGCACTCCCTCTAGACTACAGTGTCTGCTATCAAGACAACATATTTCCCTCCTTGTGAAGTCTGCTGTGCCCATTTGGAACAGCAGTAAGAATGAGTAAAGTATATGAGAGACTC